TCCAAAAGATGCATATGAAAGCTGAATGTGTTCAAAGTTTAAAAAAAAGCTCGAAAAAGCAGTGTTTTCACATTTAAAATTATCAACTTTAACTTTAGGTGAATTACTTATTCTTGTCGCCGTATTACACGAACCAAATGGTCGAGAATAAACCTGAAGATTTTACCAGTTCTTTAATCGCTATGGTCATTGCTGGAAATCAAATGTCTTCGGAAGAGTTGAAGACTGCCAGAGCTGCAATGCCCAACACCGTTGTGTTCTTTTGCTACGGCCAAACCGAACTCACCTTCTTAGCAAATCCTCTATACGAAATAGTTTGGACTAAACCAAACTCAGTCGGTTGTCCAGTAACTGGGGTCACGTACAAGGTAAGAAACATTAAAAAATTATTGACTTTAAACTAATTTCTATTAGATCGTAGATCCCGAAACGGAACAAACAGTTGGTTTGAACGAATCTGGAGAATTACGCGTGAAATGCAAATACGTGATGAACGGTTATTACAAGAAAGATAGCCGCGACGCGTGGGATGAAGATGGATTTCTGAAGACAGGAGACGTCTGCTACTTCGACAAAGACTTCTGTTTGTACGTGGTGGATCGAGTCAAAGAGATGTTCAAGTTCAGAGAGATTCATTACGTCCCAGCCAAAGTCGAATGTTTGTTGCAGAAACATCCCGAAATTGAAATGTCCGTCATCGTCGGAGTGCCGCATCCAGAAGACCAAAACCACGCTCTGGCTGTTGTCGTTCGCAAAGAAGGAAGTAAAATAGAATCGCAGGAAATCATCGATTACGTCGATAAGCACATCGACAATGATGTTCTTAAGCTTAGAGCAGGTGTTAAATTTGTTGAAAGAATGCCGTTAACACCTTCTGGAAAGATCAATAGGAGAACTCTCAAGAAGATGTTCACTAAATAAAAAATAGTTTTATTTTACTAATAAATTGTATCAATTGATTCATTCTCAATGTGTTTGTTGTATTCGTTTATACCTTCTATCGTTATAAATTATTTGAATTCTTTGATTAACGAATTTCAGCTTATAAAGATTTACACAATAACAAATCTTTGAAGAATTGTCTTATCAAGTTGTTATTCGCGTTAAAAGTGTTTACTTTGTTACTGATAGTAATTATTGCGTCCCATTTTCCTTATATATAAATGCATATTCTCGATAAACCAGTTGACCGTAATTGCAGCTTATTAATTTCGTTCATTCACCGTAGAAACTCTCAGTTTTAATACAACTGCATCATGGGTAAGTAAGGCTGCAATTAATTAATCATATCTCTTAAATGCATTTATTTTTAGCTGCTTTTACTTATGATAAAGAAACAAAAATAATAACTTCCAAACCCGATGATTACGTTGTCCCAGAAGATGGAATCGGCCCAAGTTTATACGAGGCTTTACAAAAGTTTCGTGGAAAAAATATCCAGGTATTTTAATTTTACTATTAATTAAAACATGCATAATTATATATTTTTTTAAGATTGAAGCTGCGACTGGAAGAGAAGACAGTTATGATGATTTCATTTTAAGATCGGTGCGAACGGCGTTGCATCTGAAGAAGATGGGTTTGAATTCGAAAACCGATATAATCAGCATCTGTTCGCACAATCATCTCAACACGATGATACCATTGATGGCTGGGATGCTGCAGGGTATAATCGTGGCTCCTTTGGATCCGACCATGTCTTTGGCGGATTTAAAGCATCTAGTGGAAATGGTCGAACCGAAGGTTATTTTTGTAAACGAGGATGTGGAGGAACTGATGGAGAAGGCTTCTGCGAAAGTCGGCTCGAAAATCGTGGTGTTTGGTGAAAGCGAGAGGAACGAAAGATTCGATGAGTTTATACAACCAAACGTACTTGAAAAGGATTTCGCACCATTTAAGGTGGATGATATCAACGAAACGGCGTTAATTTTGTTTAGCAGCGGAACCACAGGTCTTCCAAAAGGCATCTGCTTGAGCCATAAATATATTTTGTATCAAGCGAAGAATTTGTAAGTGCTAACAATTAATGAAGATTGTTTAATTCGATTAATTGCAATTTTCTTCTTTAGTAAAAATATTCCTGTAACTATGAGCTTCTCATCGCTGTATTGGGGCTCAACTGTGGTCACTGGTATAGGCTTCGCCATGACCGGAAGTTGTAAAGTCCTCACAGTAGGCTTTGACCCACAAGCGGCTTGGATTTATTTAAACAAATATAAAGTATAATTAAACTAAAATTTAAATTAAAATTGTTACGATTTCTTATATATTTTAGGTGAATTTCTTGTATTGCACTTCGACTGAAGCCATAGGGCTCTACTACAGCAAACCCGAGGATTTGGTGCCATCAATCAACGTTCTTATGCTTGGTGGAACCTGCATTACCACCGATTATTTAAATAAAATAAGAAACTCGATGCCTAAAACTAAAGTGTTTTTCAGCTACGGACAGACCGAAGTCGGTGTGGTGTGTAACTTTGCAGATCCCATTAGTTTCGGTAAACCGCAATCAGTTGGAACTCCTCTTCCAGGATACATTTACAAAGTGAATAATAATTACATATATTAAAACATATTTAGTAAAAAAATAAATTTTAGGTAGTTAATCCTGATACTGGTGAACATATGGGCTTCAATGAAGAGGGAGAATTGCACGTGAAGAACAAGGCCTTGATGAGCGGCTACTATAAACTCGACTCGAAAGATTCATGGGATTCAGAAGGTTTCATCAAAACAGGAGATATAGTTTTCTTCGATGAAGACTTCTGCTTCTTCGTGGTGGATCGCATCAAGGAGGTGTTCAAGTTTCGCGGTTTTCACATCGTTCCAGCTAAATTGGAAAGAATCCTGCACGATCATCCTGACGTGCAGCTGGCGGTGATCGTCGGTATTCCAGACGACATCGATGGACACCATCCTTTAGCTGTGGTGATCCCCGTGGCTGGAAGTGAGATAAAGCCTGAAGACATCGCTAAATACGTTAACGAGCAAGTGGATGATAGGCATCAGTTGAGAGCGGGAGTCAAGTTCGTGGATTCGATGCCTATGACGCCATCCGGGAAGATTCTGAGGAGATCTTTGCGAGATATGTACTTGAATGGGAATTTATAAATGAACACATCCATAAAGAGATTAAAATATAAATTTGAACAATAAACGAATTAATAGTAATTTATTTATAGACTAACATCCGGAATATAAAATAAACTCATGTTACCAAGCCTGAATTCATATAAGTCGAAATTGATTTATATCTGCTATAAAGTATTTGAGAAATTCGATATAATAGAGAATGAATAGAGTATCAGCACCTTTGGCACATTCAAATCAGATTTATTAATATCGATATGAATGCTAAATATAAGATTCATCAAAACACAATTAAACTATTTGTTTTGATTGTGGAATTCCGAGAAATTGAAAAATCAATGCAAACACAGAAAGAATACTTAACTAAGATTTTTTTTTTGTTTTCCGTTATCAAACCATTCGATAAGATCATTTTGCACCCAGCAAAGAACTAATTTTTTAAAATCAATGAGCTCAAAGTGCTGATCAGTAGAGATAAAATAATGTTATCGAATTTGCTACAATTTATTTAGTACGTAAATCCATATTATCTTAATGATTGATGATAATCCTACTCGATTTAAATTAGGTTTCTTTATGAAATTTTGATATGAAAATAACACAAAATTGATATATTAATTTGGTTCTCTATTGTTTGGAGTTAGTAATATAAAATACGTTATATTATAGTAATAAAGTGTGTATGAAGTTGTTTATTTTTTTTAATTTCCTTCACTTCATTTTCTCTATGTATTTTTTACTTTTCTTGGGTAATTTATAAAATTTGTTTTTGTTTATTATGTGTTTATTAGGATGTGTGTATTTATGTATTTATATTTTTTATAATTGTTGTAAATTTGCTAATTAAGTGACACAATCTTATCATAGTTTACTCAAATAATATTGACGTTGGTTTAAAGGTCTCATTTGTATAAGCGAGTAATTACATTATTTCTTTCTTTCTTTCTTTCAAAAGGTATAAGATAAGATTGTAAATCGTAGACAATTATGAAAATTTGTGCACTGATTGTTATTGAGGTGCTGATTAGGTATGAATGGACATTTCACTTGCAAATGGGATGGTTCGCAGATAACGGCTTCACAGTAAATACAATTTTCACTTATCTATTTCATCCAATGCTCCCTGGGAAGTTTAAGTGTTGATTGCTTCCAGTTCAGTGAAAGCCGTAGCCGTTGTCGGTTCATATATTCTCTGTATTTTGTTGAAAATCTTTAAAAATGACTGAAATTGACCCCAATAAACCCATCAATTTCTTTAACAAGGATGGAAGCAAGTGGAGTTACGATGAAAAGACGAAGATCATCACAACGACTGATGTTAGCTACGATATGCCAGCTGGAGGACTCGGACCTTTGCTGTACAACTCGATGAAGAAGCATGGAGATGATGTGGCTCAAGTGAGTACAATATTATTTCTTAAATAAATTTCATATATTGATTGATTTATTTGTAAATAAGGTTGTAGCTGTTACTGGTGAAGAGGATAAATACTCTTCGTTGCTCAAGAGGAGCGTGCGTTTGGCCATGGAGCTGAGAGCCAGAGGTTTAGGAAGAAACGATATAATCACCACTTGCTCTCGCCATCATTTGGATGGAATCGTTCCGGCGATTGCGGCTGCCCTGGCAGGAGTGACCCTGTGCAACATCGACGCCGACATGTCCGTGAACGATAACAAAATCCTTTTGGATCAAATCGAGCCGAAGATGATCTTCGCGAGCGAAGCCACCGAAGAACTGGTGGAAAAAGCCTCAGCGGACATCCAAACTAAGATCGTGGTCTTCGGAAAGACGGAACGCAATTTGTGTTACCAAGATTTGATTCAACCTAAAGAAGGCGAAGATTCTTTCACCCCGTACTACGCCGAGAACTTGGACGAAACGGCTATGATGTTCTTCAGCAGCGGAACAACCGGAATGCCTAAAGCCATCTGCATGAGCCATAAATTCATGTACAATCAATGCAAAGATTTGTAAGATAAACGAATATTTAAGAGAATTATTAATGTGAATTAATATGTACTTTTATTTTCTCAGTGAAAAAGTCGAATGCTTTTTAATTTACTCCTCTTTATATTGGAGCACCACCATAAACTTTGCTTTGGGATTAATCATAGCCGGAGGCACGAAGCTCGTTCCGCCAGTATTTAATCCTACTCAAACATGGGAATTTTTCGATAAATATAACGTAAATTGTACAATACAAACACATTGAAGAAATTGATGGAACTAATTACATTTTCAGGTCGACGTCCTTTACATGACTCCGATCATGATAGCAAGAGTTATTTCGGTGCAACCAGAAGGAAATTACAGTAGCTTGAAATTAGTGCTTCTTGGAGGTACCGGTATCTCCATGGAGCACATGAAGAGATTAAGATCATCTTTACCCAATACATTAGTTCTTTTGACTTTCGGTCAAACCGAAATTGGAATGGGTTGCAATCCCTTCGATCCGTGCATCAAGGATAAACTATTGAGTGTCGGAACGCCAATCCCTGGATGCTCTTACAAGGTTAATTCAACATTTAATTAATATAATAATTTTTTTTTGTTAATTATAATTTCTTGAAGATCGTGGATTCGGAAACTAACGAGAATTTGGGTCCAAACGAACGCGGCGAACTTCTCATCAAATCCGCTTGGCGAATGACCGGTTATTACAAGAGGGACAACAAGAACGTCATCGAGGCGGACGGTTTCGTAAGAACAGGAGACATTGCCTACTTCGATGAGGATTTCTGCTTCTTCATCGTGGATCGTATCAAGGAAATGTTCAAATACAACGGCTACCACATCGTGCCGAAGAAGTTGGAATCTATTTTGGAAACGCATCCTGCCGTGCATTTGGCTATAGTCGTCGGAATCCCGAACGTCGCCACCGGTGAAGAGCCTCTCGGAGTGGTCATTAAGAACGAGGGTAGTGAGGTGAGCGAAGCCGAGCTCATCGAGTACGTCAACGAGAAAGTGGACGACTTCCACAAGATCAGAGCTGGAATTAGATTCGTCGAAACGTTCCCGACGACGGCGACCGGAAAAATTAGACGAAGACTTCTCAGGGATAGATTCATCAATGGAGAATTGTAGTTTAACGCATATTTCATTAACTTAAAACTTAATAAATCAGAAGAGAAAAGTATTAATTTATATTTTATATTAGAAAATGGATTATTGAAATACAATTAGTTATCTATAAGTGCGTTGATAAAACATTCAATATTTGCATCTTACGATAAGTAATTTAATGATAAATATTAAATAATTATAGCTAATAATACTTTCAATTCTTATACTAAAGCTTTAAAACAATTACATTCTAATTAGTTGTGCACAACAGCAATTAGTAATTTTGTTAATACACTAAGTATAACAAAAACTTAGATTATGAGAATGTTTGGTTTTAACAATAATCCATCAAAATTTACGACTTTATAAAACACCTGGAAACTGTCATAAAAAAAATTGAGATATAATAAATAAAAATTACAATCGTTTTTTTTTTCTCGAAATATTTTACAACATTTCAATGACAAGATAGATTTTCAGTTATAATAATCAATGAAGATTACATTGTTTTTAAAATTTGAGTCCCTGACATTGGAAGATTCAGGGCGATACTTCCTTTTATCGAGAGGAAGAACTGCTTCTTCAGATCAGCATATCTTCTAAACTGGAAACCTCGACCGTCTTCCTTCGCATTTCGCTGCAATCACCTCGAATTTAGGAAGCATAGTTGCACCGTTTAGCGTAGTTGCAGCGTTGTATATTTTACAACAGTTATGATTGCAATTCCAATGAACGTGCTTGTATTTATCGGTCTGTTATATTTTTAGTTTATTCGAAACTAATGAATGATAGTTTTCGCAAATTGTAGATAGTGGTGAGTATTTTTCCACACAAAATGTTTGCTATTATCAAGAAATATCATGATCCAATGCAGTTATCAATTGTGGGTAGGGATTTGGTCCTTAATCTTGAGATAAGTATCATCTAAATATGAAATAAAAATTGCACATAATCCAGAAGTACTTCAGATATTCATCACGATGGGTAAGTTTTGTTTTCTTGTTTAAGTGTAATTTCATTTTCTTGTTTGTTTTTAGAGGGTTTAATTTACGATGACGATTCTAAAATCATTACCGTTCCTGAAAAACCACCTCATATACACGAGAAGGGCCTTGGAGTGATGGTGTTTGAGACTATGAAGATTAATTCGGATCAAATCGCTCAAGTATTAAAACTAAATTTATCTAATTAATCAAAGATTAATTATCTTGATACTATTTCAGGTTAATATGTTAACTGGGGAATCCGAAGATTACGACAGTTTGCTGAAGCGCTGCACGATTATGGCCGTGTCGATGCGAGGGCTGGATTTGAAGGAAGGCGATATGATTTCGATTTGCAGCGAGAACACGATCGACTGCGCCGTGCCCTGGGTTGCGGCTCTCTTTCAGAACGTGAAAATCTCTAGTTTAGATCCGAGTTTATCCGTGGAGGAATGCGAGCATCTTCTGGAGATGGTCGAGTCGAAAGTCGTGTATGTTTCGCGAGCTTCTACGAAATTGATCGAGGAAGTAGTGGAGAAGATGGAAAAGAAGCCAAAGATCGTTACAATTCCGGAGAGAAACGATGATATTTACAAAAAGGAGACGACATTCGCTTTCGAACCTGTAGCCGTGGATCTGAAGGAAACAGCAGTGGTTCTCTTCAGCAGCGGAACGACTGGTTTCCCGAAAGGAATCTGCTGGTCCCATAAGTTCCTCATATACTTCTGCCAACACAGGATCTTCAACTCTTGCTTGGGATACGCCACGATGTATTGGGCTTCAACAGTCTTCAACATGGTCTGCTGTCTCTTAACGGGAAGCACCAAATATTTCGCTCCGCACGTCTTCAATCCAATAGCCATGTGGAATTACCTCAAGATATACACAGTAATTTAACCATAACACAATTCAAACGTTAACAATCAATTAATTAACTCGTTTCAAGATCGATTACGTTTTCCTTTCGCCCTATGATGCCATCAACTTCATCAAAAACAAACCGAACGCAGATTTCGTGCCGAAAGTGCAATTTATGGCTATCGCAGGTAGCAGTATAAGTACAGCGTACATCAAGAAACTCAAAGAGATTCTACCGAAAACCTTGGTCGTGAACGCCTACGGCCAAACCGAACTCATGTCCATTTTCAGTCCGTTCCACAAGTGGAATAAAACGAAACCAGATTCCATCGGCATTCCCATCTCTGGAAGAACTTACAAGGTTACTTTAGTGGCATTAAATTTTCATTTCAATTAGTAATTAGTATTTTTTTTTGTAGATTGTTGATACGGAAACGGAAAAAGCGCTTGGTTTCAATGAAGCGGGCGAGATCAGGGTTAAAACCGAATGGGTTATGAACGGTTACTTTAATTTAGATTCATCCAGCTCTTGGGATTCGGAAGGTTTCCTGAAGACCGGCGATATCGGTTACTACGATAAGGATTTCTGCTTTTTCTTCGTGGATAGGATCAAGGAGATGTTCAAGTACAAATCCTGGCACATCGTTCCTGCCAAGATCGAGGCAATCCTCAACAAGCATCCCTCGATTCATCTCTCCGTAGTCATCGGCGTTCCGCATCCAGAGGACGACAATCACACTTTGGCTTTAGTTCAACTGTACGAAGGGGAACATCTGGAGGAGAAAGACGTTATCGAGTATATAGAGGATAACATGGACGAAAGGCATAAGCTGAACGCGGGCGTTAAATTCGTCACGAAATTTCCATACACACCAACCAGTAAAATCAACCGAAGGAAACTGAGGGAAACAACTTTAAAAGATCTTTCTTGCTATTAAATACGCCAAATTTTAATTAATTAATCGCACTATATTAGTTTTAAGATTTACGACTAAAAAAAATCACAATAACAATAATATATATATTGTATAAAGATGAATTCTTAGAATTTATTTTTTAAATTGATAAACAAAAGTAAATGTATGTTGTAAATTGTTTTAATAAAATATCAATCAGTTAAATGTATTTTTTGCTGATTCATTGATAGGAAAAGTTCTTTTAGAATATTACACAATATTTTTAATTAATGAAGAAGCGTATTTACCTATTAGTAGTTATTGTGGATTGCAGTAAAGCGATTATATTGCACTTTGTGGCTTGTTTACTAAAATATTGCAAATCATGCGCTCGTGCATCTGTTATTGCATCGTATCTGTTCCAAATTATATAAAAATGTTACTTAACATATAACTAAAGTAACATTTTAATTGCCTCTTGCACTATCATCTAGTTATTAACTTATTGGTTGTTTCTGTANNNNTTTTTTTTGCTCAGATGATATCCTATAAAAGAAGGTCGCTCTGAATTAATCGTGTTCAATAAGAGCAATCGAAGTCGATCGTGAACAGTTAAAACCATAGATCAGATTAGTTGAGAAACTTTCCATGAAACGATTTTGAGTGAAGGAGAAATCGCGCGCTCGTGTTCTTATTTGATGACCGCAGAACATGTGCAAATTTGATTGCTGAACAAATCTGTTGACGAATTGCTTTGTCATTTTTACGTAATTTTGATAAGACGCGTATCGCGTTGACGATAAAAACGGTCAACGAAATTGTTCTTGCGGCAGAAGATAGATTAACGCTGACCGAGAATGGGTTCCACGCAGGATGAGCTGAGGACGTTTGAAAGGTACTATGATCCGATGACCAAAGTCATTAGCATGCCCAAAGATGAGTTTAAGCCGGAACCGCGCGGCCTCGGCTACTGCCTTTACAGAAGCATCCAAAGAAATAGCAACAAAATTGCTCAGGTAATTGATGAAACGAATGCGGAAAGTAATTAACAAATTAGTAATTTTCTTAGGTTGATTCATGGACGAACGAATCGTACACGTACGGAGAGTACTTGGAGAAATGCGTGAGAACGGCGATGGCTTTGCAATGCGAAGGAGTAACATCCGAAGACGTGGTGATGAGTTGCTCTTACAACCATTTGAACAGCTCCGTACCGTTCGTTGCCACACATTTTATAGGAGCCACAAGTTCCGCGACGGATCCTAGCCAATCCAAAGAAGACATTGCTTATTTACTGAAATTGGTAAACCCGAAAGTAATTTTCGTTTGCAAGGAAGCCGAGGATAAGATGACTGAGGCAATGGTCGAATGCAATTCGAAAGCAAAGTTGGTGGTCTATGGAGAGACCAGTTTCGAATCGTGCGTCGCACCGAAATTGGGCGAAGAGAATTTCAAACCTTACGAAACCAAAGATCTGAACGAAACGTGCATCATTCTCTTCAGCAGCGGAACCACAGGCTTACCCAAAGGCATCACCTTAAGTCACAAGTTCGCTTTGTACCATGCGCATTCAACGTAAGTTTAAAATTGATCATCAAAAATAATTATTAAAAATTTATAATGGTTTTTTTAGGATGTTTCCTCCAGGGACCGGTTTTGCAAGTCTGTATTGGTCTACGAGCACTATCTGCACCCTATCCTACATCGTGTACGGCAAGAGGAGAGTTAATCTGAGGCATTTCGATGCGAACACCCTTTGGGAAATCATCGATAAGCACGAGGTATTTTATTTACTTTTTTTACATCCATTGAAAACAAATTATATAATTGAAGGTGATTTATTAGATCGATGCGATGTTCATGGCCCCATCGGACTTTATTCGGTTGATGCGCAAGAAACCTGAAAATCGGACGACTTTCATCAAAACGATCTGCATTGGCGGAAGCGGTATATGCAAGGATTTTCTTGAAGAAGCGAAGATGAAGTTGCCAACGACGAAAGTGCTCTTCGGTTACGGATTGTCGGAACTGTACTCCGTCTTCTGTCCGATCAATCATAAATCGGGAAGCGTCGGAATCCCGTACAAAGGGAAATCTTACAAAGTAAGAGTTGTAAGATTCATTTTCAATTTATTTTAATTGTTTTCTTGTAGATAGTTGATATTGAAACAGGAGATAATGTTGGGTTCAATCAAACGGGTGAACTTTGCGTTAAAACCGAATGGGTTTCGAACGGATATTACAGGCAAGACTCATCGTCCGTATGGGATGATGAGGGTTACCTGAAGACCGGAGACGTCGTGTATTACGACGAGGATTTCTGCTTCTACGTTGTCGACAGGATAAAGGAGATGTTCAAGTATAGATCGTGGCACATAGTTCCAGCTAAAATCGAGACGATAATCCTGAAGCATCCGGGTATCGATTTGTGCGGAGTCGTCGGCATTCCGCATCCTGAAGACGACTGTCACGCTCTGGCTGTTGTCCAGCTGCGAGAGGGCAGCGATCTTTCGCCGGAGGAGATCAAAGAGTTCGTCGAGAGGCAGGTGGATGACAGGCACAAGCTCAGGGCCGGCGTGAGGATCATGGATAAACTGCCTCTGACGCCATCCGCGAAGATAAGGAGACGAGATTTGGTAACAATGTATGTGAATGGAGAAATATGATGATCTGCACTATTACCTTAGGACTGTCGCGTGATATTCGCGACATCTGCGTCACGCATTTTTACAATTAATGATATTGTTGTTTATCGCTCAAAACGTTAAATTATTGTTATTTAAAAAATTAGTATTTAGAAATTAATCAATTCACGCTTATTTATCAGCTGAATTTTGATTTAAAAAAAACAACTATTACGTCTAATATAAACTATATTTTTCAGTCTCGTTTATTATACTTTTTTCAATAATCCACGACTTTGCTGTTATTTAATATCTATTGCCAAATAATACACAATTACCATAGATAACAACTAATATCGTTATTTATACACACAGTTTCTTGAACGTTAAGTAATTCTAGCGATAAATATTTGGTTGATTTTTTTTTTATTAGCTAATTAGTGCAATAATTTCGTTGTTATAAATATTCAACATTTAAATCATTAATATTAACATGTTTTTTAAGCAACTTCGACGATAAACGTTTACTTCTTTTGTGATAATTGCATTGTTATACTTTATAAATATTGAACATTCAAATCATTATTATCAAGTTATTTTTATACTTTGATAATGTAATAGATACGTACTTTCTGTGTCTGATAAGCGTGACAACTCAAAGATTAATTCTAATGAGAATGCGCTTTAACAAAATATTTCTTAATTGATTTATTCAATGTCTGCAATAATTATCTTAACGATTATTGAATGTTATTATAATACGTGTGTATTTGGTTGCCTATATCACGACGCTATCACGTAAACCTGTTAATATATAACACTTATTATCTCATTACTGTTACACACTATACGGGTCACGGTCAACTTTTTACTGTAAACACCCGAAATGCTACAATAAAGAAAGATTTAAAAAAGAAACAGCGACACAAAACAACAACAATGCTTTAGTTTTAATTAATCCCAGACAATAAAGATTATTTTTATAAATATATTTATCGTCTATCTATAGGATTAAAAAATTACCTGGAAAAAAAAGTTAATGAATAATTACACTATATAGCCTTGGTTAAAATACATATGATTATTTTTGTTTTTGTTGAAAAATCAGGAAGAGAAAACTTAAATATTAACGAAAATGTTTATAGTTGAAAATGAGAATTCAATTTGTTGCATGTAACTGTTGCATTTTTTTTTAAATATCATATCATTAAAATTATTAGACTTTTTGCGAACAATGGTCTAATCGATGCACGAGTATGCAATTTCACTCTATCGCTAAGTGTTCTCGTATAATTTATCACATTTTTAATGATACGCAATTTTTTTTTTTAATTGTTAATTGTGATTTACTTGTGCAAAATTGTAATAAATTAACTGATTAAAGTCGTTTAAATATTCAAGCTATTCTTACTTGTAACATGTTAGCAGTTCAATAGATTAAAGAAACCTTGAACATTAATTTTTCAATTGATGAATGGTGCGCATTTGGAACAAAGTCTGAGAGTAGTCTGTGGAAAGAACGCTTGAAATTTATAAGAATCATAAATGTATTTCTTGTGATTGTCCAAATATAATTAGAACTTGCTTAATGAGCTTAAAGGAATTAAACTTATTGATGTTGTTTCAACATCTTGTCCATTGTATAGTTAAGAAGTTTGTTCTTGGCTTATCATCAATTTACTTGGAATCTTAGATGAATTAATGTTAGTGGAATTGAACGAAGGTTGCATGTAAACATTGCATGTTTCTCGAAGCGCTTTTGGCTTTGAATAGTAGTCGAGATAATGGGATTGTATGAGAACGATATGCATAAAGAGAGAGAACGCGAGTTGCGAACGTAATCATTTCATAAACAATATAAATACCGCAAGTAGAGTGCAGTTGATCATTTACGATCAAAGCCAGTGAACATGGATTTCCGTAATATAAACTACATGGATTTAGTCCGTTTTTTTATACTAAAGTTTTTGTTGTATTTTAGAGAAGTATTACGATGCGGAGAAGAAGGTGATTAACATGCCGAAGAAGCATGTGCCCATCCATCCCGACGGATTAGGCGTCTACCTCTACGAGAACGTTCAGAATCATCTGGATAAATTGGCACAGGTAAACTAATCGGTTTAAAGTGAGAAGAATTAAAGTAATTAAAGAAATCGTTAATTAGATTGATGTCAGGACCGGGGAGAAGGAGGATTATCGGAGTTACGTGAACAGGTGTTGTTACGTCGCGTCGGAGATGAAATCCAGAGGAGTAACTCCGGAGGACAGGATTTGTTTATGCAGCCACAACCAGATGGACACAAATATTGCCTTTATGGGAACAATTTACACGGGCGCAAAACCAGCGAGCCTGGATCCGAGTTTATCTGTGGAAGATACGATCCATCTGTTGAAAATATCCACACCGAAAATGGTTTTCGCGTCGGAAGACGCTGAGGATCTGATGGAAAAAGCCATCAAAGAAAGCGGTTTGGATATTGAATTGTTCATCTTCACCAAGGACGCATCCAAGAAGAACTCGTTCGCACCCTTCGTGGCGCCCAGAAACTTGGACGATTTCCAAGTATATAAAGTGAAGAGCTTGGAAGAGACTTCCATGATTCTCTTCAGTTCTGGAACCACCGGATTACCGAAGGGCATCTGCCTCAGCCACAAAGCGATCATATACCATGTGGAAGATGTGTAAGTTAATATTACTTTTTATGTGATTTATCTAAAATTTGCTTTTTCAGACCGTTTCAAGTGACTTCGGTGCTGCTGTTCTCATCGCTGTATTGGATATCCAGCATTTTCGCGACTCTCGTGATGCAACGTTTCGGCACTTGTAAAGTCATCTGCAAAAACTTTGATGCCGTCGAAACGTGGATGAACATTGAAAAGTTCGATATAAAAACGGTTTTCTTAGCGCCGTGCGACGTCATCAATTTCTATAATAGAATGCCGGAGGGACACGTCTCCACATTGGAAAACCTTATTATCGGAGGTTCTCACCTTAACCCAGATTACTTGAGGAAATTGATTAAGGCTCTGCCCAACACCGTGGTTAGTTATTGTTATGGACAAAGCGAGGCTTTCAACTTGATCGAACCTACCTACAGGGAAGACAAATTAGGCTCGGTAGGTGTTCCTAATCATGGATTATCCTACAAGGTATATAAACCATTTAAGTTAATAAATCTTTAATAATTTGGACAAATTCGATAGGTTGTTAATCCTGAAACTGAAGAAAACGTGGGATTGAATCAGGAGGGTGAGCTTCGTATCAAATACGATTACGCCATGACCGGTTACTACAACTGCGATGCGAGCAGCGCCTGGGACGCAGAAGGATACTTGAAAACTGGTGACATAGTATACTTTGATGAGGACTTTCATATGTACGTAGTGGATAGGATCAAGGAGATGTTCAAGTACAAATCCTGGCATATCGTTCCCACTAAATTGGAGATGATTTTGATGAAACACGACGACATAAACTATGCGACGGTCGTCGGAATTCCTCATCCAGAAGACGACAACCACATCAAAGCTATTGTGCAGCTGAAAGATGGTAGAACGGCGGATCCGGAAGAGATTAAGAGCTTTGCGGAGAGTTTCTTGGACGACAGGCACAGGATTAGGGCAGGCGTTACTATTGTTAAGGACTTTCCAGTCACTCCCACCGGGAAAGTCCAGAGGAGAATCCTTAAGGACCTAGTCATGAAGGGACGCATTTAAATTGCATCATCTGACTTTGTAAATAACTATATTTTGTATTATATACGAATAATCTATATTATTACTATAAAAATACGCATATTGTACAGTTTATTATAGTAAATAAATCATTGAACATATACACATTTTGATTTTAGTTTTTCTCCATTTTTTTTTGCTTAAAATAGAAAATAGTAATGAGTGGTTTATTATAGACGTAATTTTTTTTTTTATTGACATTGTGCTTCAGATAATACTAGTGATTTTAATCTCGAGAATATTACTTTCACAATCTATACACTTACGTTCTGAAAATAAATCAATGTCAACCTGAACTTCTATCCGTTTGTAACTCACATCAGAAACTATGTAGATTTTCATCCAGGAAGGTTTGCAACTGCTGTTTTAAATGAATGAATAGATAAACATGAATTATTTAAATTGCAAGGCAAACAATGATAATACAATCTTTATTATGTTTATGTTTTTACATAACGATGAATGATATGTAATGACTGTTTTTGTATACAAATTCGAAAGTGTAATTAGTCAATTCGATATTAACTACAAATATGTACATCGTTAAGATTCGAGATAGAACTATTTCCTTTTCCTATAGAATGTGTTGTTTGATCATTAATTTACTTAGTAATCTGGAAGAATTAAGCTGAGGTCACGAGCAGTAGTTGGATTTGAGTGGATAGAAAAAATAGAGGGGGAGAACGCAAGACTCGAGAAACGTAGTCATATCACGAAGCGTATAAGAACCGTAACTAGATTACATTTGATCATTTACGACTATAGCCAGCGGACATGGATTTCCGTAATATAAATTAACAAGGTTGACTCGAGTTTTTTTTTATACTATAGTTTTTGCTGTGTTTTAGACAAATATTACGATGTGGAGAAGAAGGTGATCAACATGCCGAAGAAGCATGTGCCCATCCATCCCGATGGATTAGGCGTCTATCTTTACGAGAATATCCAGAATCATCTGGATGAAATGGCTCAGGTAAGATAATCGATTTAAAGTGAAACTGTAATTAAAGAAATCGTATTAGATTGATGTTAGGACCGGGGAGAAAGAGGATTATCGGAGTTACGTGAAGAGGTGTTGTTACGCCGCGGCGGAGCTGAAATCCAGAGGAGTAACTCCGGACGATAGGATAGGTCTGTGCACCCACAACCACATGGACTCGAGCGTTGCCTTCATGGGTGCAATTTATGCGGGCGCGAAACCAGCATCCATGGATCCGAGTTTATCTGTGGAAGATACGATCCATCTGCTAAAAATATCCTCACCGAAAATGGTTTTCGTTTCGGAAGACGCCGAGGATCTGATGGAAGAAGCCATTAAAGAAAGCGGTTTGGATATTGAATTGTTCATCTTCACCAAGGACGGATCCAAGAAGAACTCGTTCGCACCCTTTGTGGCGCCCAGAAACTTGGATGATTTTCAAGTTTATAAAGTGAAGAGCCTGGAAGAGACTGCCGTGATTCTCTTTAGTTCTGGAACAACTGGGTTACCAAAGGGAATTTGCATCAGCCACAAAGTGTTCTTGTATCACGTGGAAGATATGTAAGTTAATGTTACTTAAACTCGATTTAAATCTAAGTTTTGAGTTGTTGTTGCAGCTTATTTAAGGTTTGTTCTATGCTGCTCTTCTCATCGCTTTATTGGATATCCGCGATTTACGTGACTTTTGTGATGCAACGTTACGGCAGCTGCAGGATCATATGCAAGAGTTTTGATGCCGTCGAAACGTGGATGAACATTGAAAAGTATCAAATAAATTCGATGTTCTTAGCGCCGTGCGACGCCATCAACTTCTATAATAAAATTCCGGATGGACAAGTCAGCTCTTTGAAAAACATTATCATCGGTGGTTCTCACTTGAGCGTGGATTATTTGAAGAAACTGATCAAGGCTATGCCAAATACTGTGGTTTCCTATGGTTACGCCCAAAGCGAGGCTTTAAACTTGATTCGACCCACCTACAGGGAAGATAAAATAGGCTCGGTCGGCGTTCCTAATCATGGAATATCCTACAAGGTACGTTCATCACATAAATTAATTCATTATCATCAATAATTTTGTTAAATCAAATAGATTGTTAATCCTGAAACTGAAGAAAATATGGGATTAAATCAGGAGGGTGAGCTTCGTGTCAAATTTGACTACACCATGACCGGTTACTACAACTGCGATTCGAACAGCGCTTGGGACGCAGAAGGATACTTAAAAACTGGTGATATCGTATACTTTGATGAGGATTTTCATCTGTATATAGTGGATAGGATCAAGGAGATGTTCAAGTACAAATCCTGGCATATCGTTCCCACTAAATTGGAAATGATTTTGATGAAACACGACGACATAAACTATGCGACGGTCGTTGGAATTCCTCATCCAGAAGACGACAACCACATCAAGGCTATTGTGCAGTTGAAAGATGGTAGAACGGCGGATCCGGAGGAGATTAAGAGCTTTGCGGAGAGTTTCTTGGACGACAGGCATAGGATTAGGGCAGGCGTTACTATTGTTAAGGACTTCCCAGTCACTCCAACCGGGAAAGTCCAGAGGAGAATTCTCAAGGATCTCGTAATGAAGGGCCGTATTTAAATTATATTAATTCTATATTAAATATTTATATTTTGTATTATATACGAGATCTATAAATTAAGGACACGTGATTGTATTAAAGGAATTACTGAATATAAACATGTTTTATTATCTGCTTTATTCTTGTTGCTTAAAATTTGCCAAACAGTGACAAAGTACAATCCATATGTGGAGGACGTAACAATTTTTTTATTTGTATTGAAACAGTGCTCGAGATAATGAGATCAAAGATTTTAATCTCGAGCATCTCAATCGCTCTCAATCTATACACACTTATGTTCTGACAGATATCAATGTCAACCTGAATTTCCAAATTTGTATCAGTTTGTAACGGACAGCAATAAATATGCAGAAGAACTTCATTAAGGAAGGACCGCAGTTCGTGATGGACTTCCCGGAGGCCGGTCTTGGAATGCGTTACTTCAACAGAATGGATTCGTTCAAGGATAAGATAAACCAAGTGATCTTAACTAAATCCTACTAATAAGGAAGTTTTGAAGGAGTCTTTAAATTGCAGGTGGATTCGACGACAGGCTTAACGGAGACCACGAACCGCGTCAAGATAAGAGCGATCCAAGTGGCCTCGGAATTGCTGAAATGCGGAGTCACGGAGAACGACGTGATCCTGTTATCTTGCAGACCTCGCTCAGACGAAGCCGTCATCATTTTAGCTACTTTATTCGTTGGAGCGCAATTGGCTCCTTTGGATCCCGATTTGGATTACGAAGAGTACGCACCACTGCTGAAGAAGCTGAGTCCGAGGGTGATCTTCTGCGATCCAAGGGTGGTTGTTAACGTGGAAAGGAGCATGGGAGAAGGGCATAACATAATTTACACTTTCGGAAATGACGGTCATAAAAGGAAGTTCCCGCATATCTTCAAGACGCCAGTTGACACGAAATTCGTTCCCGCTACTATAAAGAATCCCAAAACGAAGACGGCGTTCATCACGTTGACCGAAGGGGTCGTTCATTTACCCAAATTGGTGATGTTGTCGCATTACGGTGCTCTGGCCAGGGCCACGATGATGAACTATCTGATCTTCAACAAGAGTCAAAGGGTTATCTCTTATTTCCCTCTGGTCGGAACGTCACAGATCATTCTCACTCTCATCACCTTCGAAAGACCACTGGTTAAAGTCATACCTAGGGCTTTCGTGGAACGCGACGTGTGTCGGATTATCCACGATATGAAGATCGAATTCGCTATACTCGGGACGAGCAACGCCGTGAAGATTGCAAGGTACCACAGCAAAGAGCAAGTAAATATCGCTGGAATTAATCTCCCGAGTTTATTGACGTTCCGATACGTTGCAGGATTACAATTTGAGCTGTTTGAAGCAGATTCTCGTTGGTGGAATTCCGGCGAGCGCTAGGACTATAGCTTACATCATGTCGGTGATGAGGAACGTGATTGTAGCAAATATTTACGGAGTGGCGGAGTGCGGATTCATTGCTGGAGTTACGCCCGAAGACACGACTTTGGCTTACGAGAAACCGGCCAGTTGTGGAAAACTGTTCCCCGGAAGCGTCGTGAAAATTGTGGATTGGAATAGTAACGAGCCATTGGGTCCAGACACCTGGGGCGAACTTTGCTACAAGGGTCCTGATCTTGCGATCGGGTAAACCGTTTAATTCCATTCAGCAAACAATCAGCAATCTTCTTTGGGATTAGTTATTTTCAGGATAATGTCGAGACCTTCACGTACGACGGTTTCTTCAAAACGGGCGATGTTGCTCAGTACGATGAGCAAGGTTGTCTTTACATTCAAGGCAGATTGGACGACGTTTTGGCTAAAGATGAGACCGTTTTCTCAGCAGTCGACATCGAGGATATCTGCATGATGCACAGCAAAGTCAACGACGCCGTAGTTTTGACTAACGGCACCATTATCGTCCTTTACTGCGTCGTCGACGACCCAAAGCTCACGACCAAGGATCTCTTCGGGTGATAAATGTTTCTCTATCCTGAAACCAATGTTTATATGAACGTTCATTCCGCACAGGCATCTGCAAGAAATCCTTCCGGCTAGTAAACTACCGCACAAAGTCATCATCGTCAACGAACTACCTAAAACCAAGAACGGAAAGATCAAGAAGTACATCTTACAACGCTCCAACACAAAGAAAAGCATACAAATTTTCTAAAAAAAAAAATAATTTCATTTAAACTTTTCATTTCAAAAATACATATTAACAATCGTTTTGATTTTTGTTTAAACTATAATCTACATAGTCTACATTATGATATAATGATTAGTATCAATAGAAATATTCGACGATCAGGCAGGTGCTCTAGATTTTTTTTAAGAGGCAAAGTTTATGAATGGAGAAAAACGTAGTATTTTTCTCAATACATTCTATTCTTAGATACGCCGCACTCCACTCCACGATAAGACCACTTTATATCAGCGCAAATTTCATTACGCTGTTCCAATTAATAGAGATCTCATAACAACACACAATGCCTCTTCGATCCACTTCTTGCGATGGATTCGATACGCTTCACAACATCAATACTTACCTTGAGTTGTATGTTCAAAACTTGCGAGAATACGCAACAAACAGAACGTGTTTTTTTTTAATTTTGCGCAAGGAAAGTCTGGGGAAATTACGAAAGAAACAGAGCAGACATTGAACACTGTAAATATTATAATTGTTATATTTTTTTTCTGTATAATACATATTTTTTTTTAATTATTTTTTTTATAATTCATTAAGATTACTTAAGATTAGGTCAAATATGTTGAAGCAATCAAATGATTTATTAATTATTTATTTATATATATTTATGTGGGTCGTGGATTAACGCACGTCTTCTGCATGGAAATAAACAAATCGCAGATTGAGTTCGCGAATGACGAAATCTATTATTATTATTATCATCAATTAATGAAATAAATTAAATGATAATTCTATTTCCGTAATTAATATTTCCATCGAGTATTCAAATATTTGTACATTCAATTTAATATTACCGAAATTTAAACAAACATCAAACAAAACAACAATAAACTTTGCTTAAATTTATTGTACATTTTTCGAAATGAAACACCGAATTATTGTTTATCTTTCATCCTTACAAACGCAAGTACACCGATTTTTAGCTTTAATCGTCTCGTTTTTATTATTGTTATTACTATTCCTCTCCAAATTTTACTTATTTTCTTTCTTTTTATTAATGAACGAACGAATAACGTGGACAGCCTACGCCAATACAAGACACAGCATTTTCATTATTGCATTACAATGATTGTTAATTATCACAGAAAGTTTGTAACAGAAAAGCAGCGAACGCTACGAGTAATCATATCATCATCATCAATATTATTATTTTTTTTTAAATATTATTTTTTTACACACATTTAGGCCACGATGTTCATAATTTAACACACTTCATTATGTTATTTAGAAATAGAGAAAAACAAATGAAACGAAATGATAACGTTATTCTCTTGTTTGCTTTTCAAAGGCGACTGCAACTAATTGGCGAGAGTAAAAAACAGTACGTTTTCTAAAAAATCTACGAGAAGTTGAATAGTTGAATGTACCAAAAGAAAAAAGTGTGCTCGATCCGTAACAATGTGACAATGATTGAGAGATTATTAGTTTCGTTAATATTATTATTATTATTAAAAATTTTCGTCGATTAATATTGTCTTTTAATGAAGAAAGAAAGAATCAAATGAAAAAGAAAGAACTACGAGTAGTTTAACTACAAACAGTTTAAGAACTAGGAGCTACGTTCAATTAAGTATTTAGTATTTAAGTTTATAAGTATTAAAAACTGTTAAGATCTAGAGGAAAAGAAAGAAATATTATTAGTATTATATTTTTATATAAAACGAATTTCTACTTTTCAAAGATCGGTGGTAGCCGAGGTTTCGTCCACATAAATGAATCTCTAAGTACGAACGACGCTTTGGCACTTGAACTTCGATTTCCAAGGTGTCGTGTGTCTCTTTTCTGACTGCGTGTGTTTGTATGTGATTTATTTATTTTGTGTGTTTTGTGTATGTTTTTATTAATTAATTTATTAATTTATTATTATATTTTGTTTTCCTTTTTACATAAAACTTGTTTGTCGCTACCACAAAAATAGAATATTATTAATCTTCAAAATATTATTTATAGAATTACATATCAAATTTATTACGTTTTACATATTATTATGGTGTTAGAAACATTTCTCTCCCTCAACTCGCGAGTTTCTCGTTTACTTTTTTTTCACTTATAAAGAAATGAATCTTCGTTCTTCGGGGTGAAATAATCGATTCAAATCAAGATACTAATATTTTTCTTTTAAAATTTCAATTGATGATTTCTGTTTTTTTAGAAATGAAGTTTCGACAAGTTCTTTAATCTTTGCAAGTTTTCCGTGCTGCGCGAATCCAATTAGTGTTGGGACGTATCGGAGCAACTTTACCAAACTTGAATCCACCCCGAAGAAGTGTTGTAAGAAACTTTGTTGTAAGAAGTTGCGGTAAAAGCTGGTGATATCTTTGTTGATTCCGGGGGATGAACTATTCGCGAAAACCGGTCCTAATGATTGTCCCTTTTGAAATTGAAAGAAAACCAGAACGTACGGAGACTAAGAGAGAGCGTGTGAAGAGGAAGGATAGTTTGAGTGAGTGTGAGAGAGAGATATAAAGAAAATTAGGAAAACAGAAGTTGTGTACGCGCGACGAAGGCCGGAAACGGAAAGGAAATTTTACGGAAATTGACATGCTGCTTCGCGGCCTTTTCTGATGTTGGTTGAGAGAGTGCACGCGCACTTCCGGGCTCTCCGAAGACCGGCAGCTCTGGTGACGTTGGCCTGTGAACCAACTAGGTTGGATCTTGCGATCGTCGTCGTCAGAGCTGCTCGGGCTGGATGCCCTCCTCCTTATGCTATTCCCCGCCCAACGTCAGAGCTTGCACAATCCTCGGATCGGCTTTGCTTCCCTCCCTGAACTCCTCCAAGGTTAACCTGTCGTCGTGGTTCTTGTCCATCTGGTCGAAGATCTTGTCCACCCTCTTCTGAGGCGTATTTTCATCCTCCGACGGCTGCTGACCCTGATGACAACACAACACAGTCACAACATCAAAAACTTACTTTTACAATTTACTTCTTCATTTAGTTATAAACAAATATAAACTACGACTAATAAAAACTAACGAAACTATAAAAATTATCATAAAAAATTTCAATCTAATCTAAATGGACACTTTTAGATAACACAAATATTTCCTTTAATAGAAATACTTGAAAATTCGTATTTTTAAATTTAGATTCAATTTCAATTAAACTTTTATCAATTAAAAAATACTATTATTTTCGGTTCTGGATTAGTAGAAAAAAAAAATTGGATCGAATTAATACTTTTGTAGATAATTAATTATTAATTCTAGAAATATTTAATACTTTAAATTGTATCTTTATGTGAAATTTGTGTTTATATGGAAAGATGAAATATTTTAATGTCGTAAAACATGAAATTGGTATAAAAAAAAAGTGTGTTGTAGCTTACCACCATCTGGTAAATAGCGTCGACGATGTTGTACATTTCGTCCCTCGTGATGAAACCGTCGTTGTCCACGTCGTACAGCCGGAACGCCCCTGAAATTGGGTTTTCGAGTGAACGTTAAATAACGGTTGAAAAAGAAACAAGAACAATAAAAAAAAACATTCATTAAGGAGCGAAAGTGTCCTTGAATATCAACGTAAAACTGGTACATATCCTAATTAATAAAAAAAAAAACACAATTTTCATAATATCATTTTTTTTAATGTCCGTTGCAGAAGATTCGCTGGAAATGAATCCATAAAAAAGGGGATAAAACATGAAAAAACGAGAGATATACGTTAGTATTTGATTGATTATCACGACATGTGTCGATCTCTCGTTTCGCAATTCCAATTAGACAGAATTAAAAAAAAAGTTCAATCAAATTCAAAGAAAAAATAACTCAAAATTTATTATTATCACGTTACTGATAAACAACAATATTGATTTGAAATGTGCTAAGTTTTAATGAAACTAAAGAAAACGTAAAATTAGTATGTAATTTAATATTTACTAAATATTTTAAATTATACAATAAATAAATGTAATTAATTATTTTTTAACTAATTCCCTTCATTTTAGGAAGATTTAATTAATAAATAATAATTTAATATTTAATTGTGAAGATTTGAATTGATTTTAGTAAAATATAGTTTCACAAAGAATTTTGGTTTTAACTTAAAAAGAAATTGTGTAATTTTCTCATTAATTTAATTGCGTTCGTCTTGTGTAAATTTCTTAACGAATCCGTATAAATTGAAGTAAATTGAAGTAAATTGAAGATGATAAAAGCCCCGAAAACTTTTGATTGCGTTTTATGACAGCGAAGGATAAATTCGCTCTTTCACAACGAGCGCTGTTTGACTAAGCAAAAAAAGACGGAAAAAGATTGTGAAAAGTTTCGTCCTCGCGTTTGACCCGAAAATTTTGAACTGCAAAAAAAAAAGAAGATTGTGCATCATGCATAGATGAAAATCGATTAGCTTTAGAAACTATATCGCCTTATTACGTTGCCCCAGTTGCTTCCATAACGAAGGTTGCAGATCAATAGGTTGCAGTTCGCAGCTGCAACAGGGATCAACGATGCAATAGGAATGTGGAAACTGCAATTGTTTACGCCCTTGGGTGCACAATCCAATTTTATTTTGAATACTTTTTAAAACGAGAAAATCTCTTGATTCGTAATGGAAAAATAAACGATCGAAAAACGCGTAGAAATTGTAAAAATTCACTTAAAAAATAGTAATTATTTTATGTACTTTGTAATGCTTAAATTTTACTTTACAAATGTTCATATTATTCTATATTGAATTTAATTTTAAAGCTTATGAAATGAGAATTAGTTCTTAATACATTTTGTTGAATAATTTTATTGTAGTTAAAATGAAAAGTCGATAAAACAAAATTTACAAAATTTTAATTTTCACATAAATTATTTCTACTAACAGTATAATTTCAAACACTCGACTAAATATAAGATTTATTAAAGTAATTGATGAAGGTAAGTTTCTAATTTGAACTGATTTTATATAATTCTTTGACAAATAATGAAATTATACTTATACTAGGAAGTATTACAGAATAATCTTCTAATAATTACATTTTTTCTAATGGCTAAGAAAATTTTGTTAATAATTAAAAACTAGTATGATATTTTTCTTATATTTGTATCATAAATTATGAAAATAACTAGATTTGAAGCAAAATTTAATTGTTATTTTTTGTAAATCTCAAATGCAATTTGTAAAGTGTTCGAGTGAAGAAAATTTTGCAATTAGAGCAGACCTATTGTTGGTTTGAGAATAGTGAAACGGTCTTTATAATATGTATATTTGAATGCTCGTTGTTGAGCAAAGTGTGCGAAACACAATATGCAATTTAAACTGCGTTATTGAAAAGGCTTCGCATGCCGAAATCCCATAACTCTTTCGATACTTATCAGAAAATGGAATCGTTATTATTATAATATATAACGTTCGATTCGAGCCAATCTTACATATATAGCTCGATCTATAATAGATTCAACTAGGCTTTTATGAAAATTTCTTATATAATTCGTTTATTGTTCGAAGCACTAATTTGTTTGAAAAGATAAACATTTTTCTTCATAATTATAATGTTAATTAAATGATTGCTTTATACAAGCTGGCGCAAAAGTAATGTCATAATTTGAATTGGCTGCCATTTTTTGCAGATGGCGCCATCTGCAAAAAATGGCTGAGCTTTGACATTTATGATGTAGATATATAGTGAATTAGTTGCCAATAAACCATGGAGCGATACACACCTCAAGAACTTATGTGACAAATTTTCAGTGTTTTTCGAGCAACAATTCAAAATGTCATAAAACGAGCGCAATTATGCATCAACTCGGGAGGTGGCAATTTGAGCGATATATTTTTTTCCAAGTAATGTCACCAATTTTACACTTTCATATAAACTTTTGATGAAAACATAGGTCTTTTTTCTTCATTTATAACAAAATGGCAGCCAATTCAAATTATGACATTATTTTTGCGCCACCTTGAGAAAATTAAAATGTATCTATTAGAAGATAAACATTTAACATTTTGTTGAATAGTGAGGTATTTGTTTGGAAATCTAATACAATAGTAAAAAAAGTTGAGGCTTAATTGCTTAGGTTTATTATTTGGTCTAATTATGAGTTTGTGATTCCAAAATCTCGTTTATTTTGTTGAAGCAAGGAGAAGGTGGTTTTTAATACTGGCGATGAGTAAGCCGGAAAATCTTTTCTTCGGTCGACAGGATGTTTGATAAAAGGGCACAGCCAACAGAGACCGGGGAATTTACGTCGGTTTAACTAAATCCGCAATCTCGCATCGAAGGAAACAGGAAAAGGGTTCGCTGCGAACGGTCCGTGAAATCCCCGGGACTTTCTTAGTAATTTCGTCCTGTCGCATTCTCCGGCCCAAATATCAACAGATATCCAAACGGTTATTGTTATTACACTCGACGCGACCCGCAGGAATTCTCCTGATAGCAATTAACAAGTCCACTCCAGGTGAGAGATGGTATCTCCTCCATCTCCGCCTGTAAATTCCGGCGCTTTCTGCGACGTTGTTTATTAATCTCAAACTAATAACGAAAGCCACCCCTCGCACGTCCTACAGTTAATTACGCGCACGTTCTGCAAATAATGCTCACACAAATGTGTTTTGTTCGGATGCGCAAGTGTCGGTCCCTGAGGACGAATATCAAACGTCCGTCTCAGCTGTTGAGAAAGTTTGTTTGCTACAATTTAGCAGTTCAATTGACCTAAACTACGTTACAACTATATTAATACTGCAAACTGTGATTTTAATAGGCAAAAACCGTAAATCAATTAATGTACTTTACCATAAAGGTAATGCGATTCGCATTAAAATCCCGAAACTTTCCTGCGCCTATTTTAATACCTGTTCATTAGCACTTAGCTAATGCAAACTTTATTACTTACACCAAAGAATACTTACGCTGTTAGCAGCGAGGGTGTTCGTAAAGTTTACGATCCTCGCAAAGGTTTCTCTCGACAAATATTTACAATACAAACTCTTCGTTTCAATTACACGCATTCTTGGATTTCCATTCAATCCAAAATTAATTAGGGCAATGTTAATGTAACGTAATTTGATAAGTACTTCTCTCAGATTTCTAATTAAATAATTGTAAATTTCTAAATTGGTGACGACGCGCAACTTGACAAGTAATTTACAACTAAAAAAGTAAACATTGTAGTCTATTGAATAATTTGTTATGTATAACTGTTATTGTTTATATTACGTTAGTCCTTATTCCACTAGGACTCCACAACGACATAACTACGAGATATTCTACAGTGTCCAGAGATATTTGAATCCCGGGACACGACAAATTATATAAATAATAAAAAATTTGAACATTTACAAAAAAAAAAGATTTATATTAAAAAAAATGGTACATATTAAACACGTTTTCATTGGTATAATTATTATGACACAAACAAAATGAAATTTTTCCTTGAACTTTTTGTAATTGAAGGACATTACGTAACTGAACATGATTGTTTTATTTCTCGCAATTTTACAACTAGAAGGACAACTAATATAAAAGAAAACTATTACAGAAATACAATAATAATTATATATTCTACAAAATTAACTCGTTTTAAAGTAAAATCTATAAAATCAGTAAAATGAATAAATTTATAAAGAATTTAACTTGTTTCATCAATTAAAATTTGTTTTTTATTCTTTTCTTGAAATTTTCAATGTTTTTTTTTTTTTTTACATTTCTCATTTCTTTTATATTCTAATAGAAAATCTTATTAAGTTATAATAGTTTGATACAAAATTCTACATTTTCATTTAAACTAAAGTAATTTAAAGTAATAATATTAAATGAAACTATTTAAAGAAAAAGGGTTCAAAAATAATGAATTTCATCAGCAGATTAATAAATGAAAAAAAAAGGTGTGTATATTTTCTTTTCAAATTAATTAACACTTCGAAAATCATCTATATTTTCGTTGTTTGGTTCGGAATTATTTCTTTCACAAACGAGAGAAAGGGGAGGAAAGGATGAAAGACAAAAAAAAGGATTTAAGCAAACGCATCGTCCTAATTGGAACACAAATAAAAACTTTTTATCTGCCGCTCCGAACAAAAGTTTTAATTAAAAAGGACTTTCTGTAATTTATACGTGTGTGACAGAGAGAAAAATAAGTGGATATTTGCGAGTCAAACGTTTTAATCAAGTTTTTTTCTCGAAAACATCGACATGGATGTTTCTTTTTTCATTATTCTAAGTCGTTAGTTATTTTAGTAGAGAAATCTATCTAAAAAGTATAAATATTTTCAAATAAACGAAAGATTCCAAGATGATTAAATTATAATTTGAGTTCAAATCCTAGTCAAGGCCTTTTGTGAGCCCTATCGGTGATTGTTTTCTTAAATTTACTCTTTATCTACATTGATAAACAGATTGTGAATAAAATTAAAGATAAAGTAAATTCTGAAGAAATGTCAATCAAATTTAATATAAAAAATTGTTAATTGCTAATCTTAGTTAAATGGAAACAATTTTCTAAATTAGTAAATCGTAACAAAAAAATACGCAAAATTGTAAAACAATATATGAGGTTGAAAAACGTTGAATGTCGTTAGTCTTTTAGTAGAAAAAATCATCTAAAAAGTACAAATACTTGGAAGTAAACGAAATATTCTAAAACGTTTAAATTATGATTTAAATTAACTCATTTTTTTTTAAGTAAATTCTTAATAAACTAATTAAAAAAAATGTAGTTTAATTAAACAAAAACAATTTTCTCAAAGTGTATGAAGTTGAAAAATGTTGAAGGTCATTAAACTTTTAGTAGAGAAAACATCTAAAAAGTACAAGTATTCGGAAATAAACAGTAGCAAAGAAAAAAACTTGAATTCCGCGAAAATAACTCAAACATTTCCGTCTTCAAACTTTTTCCTCGCATTCTTCCAATCACACCTCAACGATATTTCCTCCATTTCTCCAATTTACAACTTGCCTTCCAGTGCGTGACTTACGCCTTAAAATAACCGAAATTCCACATGTACAGAGTGAATTTATGCCGGTAATAAATTGTTTTCTTATTAGTTTCATTTTTACTCCCCTACTCACACATAAATATTTTTTTCTCCCCCTTTCACTTCAGAAATTAATGGTTTCTCGCGCGCGCTCTTATTCCACCTTTTTTTCTTCTATTTCTTTCCCCTATTTGTGTTTTTTTTCTTGAACCCACATAACAGGTTGCGTGCCTTTTAAAAAGGAAACGCAGGTGGAAAGATTTAGCTGCGTGCGTGCAATCCACCCTTTTAGTGTACAAAAAATATGTAACAATATGATAAATAATAGGGAATGTAACAGGAGGGTTGCGAAACGATCGATAGCTCGAACGGACGAAATTAATGTTTCAAAATAACCGCCGAGTTTATCATGCTTTTTTTTTTGCTTGGTGGAGACTGCAGTAAAACTGAGGGCTTTATGGTGAGCCGTAAAGTTTCAGTTTCCTGCAGGGAGGAGAATAAAAACAAGCGAGGATTATTTATTCATAATATTTCAGGTTCGCCACATCGTCGCTACTTGATATAAACCAACAAACAAACAAACGTGCAAACTTTACGCGTTTCATCATATAATCATATAAAATTTTAATTGATCATTATTTGCTTTAATTGGTCATTCACTTTTCACGCTCCAAATAAATTCGAATCCAATTCGAACGAAATTTAAACAAAACAAAAAACACATGGATTATATACAAATTTTTAACAACAGTTTTTCGCATCGCTGCACAAAATAATTGAAATATTGAAATTCGCGTATACAAATTTTTCATTTCTATAAAAAATACATAAATATAAATGTTATTTCGGCAACAAATAACAAATATATTTTTCATAAAAATAGGAAATATTATAAGAGTTTTACTTTTATTTACATTCTTTTTTCTATTAGTTTTCTATTAAGAATCACATTTTGTATATATTTTTTAAATAATTGTTGAAAAATTATATAATAATAACATTTATTTTAAAAGTTATTTACAAATGAAATAGTAACGTTTCTTTTATGACAATTTAAAATTTTACATATTATTTTTTTCTGCGCAGATTTTTTTTCCAAAATTATAGGTTTATTAATAAAAATAATGATGTAATAACATAATATGTATAGTTTAAAAAAGTTAAAGTTGTATTTGTTATTAAAAGTTTAGTATTGAATAATTGTTATTGAAATTAAATGGTGGATGCGCCGGGATGAAATAATTTCCTAAACGCAATAATTCGCATTACGTCTATTGTTTTGTAGAGCGCTCGATCCGAAGTTGTCCGTATCGTCGGTCGGTTATTAAATCATCTGGAAACGGGATCGGATTAGCAGGAAATTCGAAACTCGACGCGTAATTCGATCGGGCGGACCAACAGTTTCCGTGCGATTCGGCATAATTAATTAATTAATTAATTAGAGGAAGAGCGAATCATTTCATCCGGCATCCGTAGCACTCTTTATTAGTACTACTGCCACCAAGTGAGCTTTCGCGCGACGCGAATCGCGTAATCCGCGCGCGCCGCCCTTCAATTACGTAACCAGATTAGTTCCAATTAGCAATACCGACATCTTAATTAAAGAGACCGATTGTTTGCTACGAACTTAATTAGATGAATGCATACTAATGCGTTTCTACTAATCAATGCATAAGACTGGAATCATTATTTGCATTTCGATTCAATCTTGCAAAAAAAAAATGAAATTTTCTTTAATTTAAACAAAACTTTTGTAGTTATTCTTCATATAATTATAGATACATCAATTCACTATTATTCCTGAAAAATACTGAAATGTATTAATGTAAACTGTAAACTTTTGTATTAATTCTTACAAATGCTACAAATGTAGAAACGAATTATGTTTGAAACTATAATTGTTAAATGTATTTCAATTGACTGTTATTCCTGAAAAAAAAACTGAAATTTCAATACGTTTCAACAATCAGTCAGTGAAATTATAATTATTACTTATGAAGAAAACTGAAATTTTCATTACATTTACTGTAGAATTTCTTTACATAAACCTTCAATTACGTAACCAGATTAATTCCAATTAGCAATACCAACATCTTAATTGAAGAAACCGATTGTTTGGTCCGAACTTAATTAGATGAATGCATACTAATGCGTTTCTACTAATCAATGCACAAGACTGGAATCGTTATTTGCATTATCAAAAAAACTGAAATTTTCTTTAATTTACTCAAAACTTTTGTAGTTATTCTTCTTATAATTATAGATACATCAATTCACTATTATTCCTGAAAAATACTGAAATGTATTAATGTAAACTGTAAACTTTTGTATTAATTCTTACAAATGCTACAAATGTAGAAACGAATTATGTTTGAAACTATAATTGTTAAATGTATTACAATTGACTGTTATTATTGAAAAAAACTGAAATTTTCATTAAATAATATCAGTATTAATGTATACTTTTCTATTAAATCATACAAACGTAGAACAATGTTTGAAACTATAATTTCAATTAACTACAATACCTGAAAAAAACTGAAATTTCAATACGTTTCAACAATCAATCTGTGAAATTATAATTATTGCTTATGAAAAAAAACTGAAATTTTCATTACATTTACTGTAAAATTTCTTTACATAAACTAAATTTACAATTTACATTCAAAATTAGTGTTTTCCAAGAAAAAAAATCTGAACTTTTGTAGTAATTTGTACAAATTTTATGTAAAGAATAAAAAAAACCTAATTTTTACGTAAACCTTAAGTGAATAATATATCTTAGAACGCTTAAAACTTCCCGAGAAAACAAAGATTAATCCGAAGACGCAATAACGCTCTGCAGCATAAACACTCCCGCTTCTTTTTTATTATTATTATTACACCCATCCCTTTTTTCTTCTTCTCTCAACTTCCGACAATGGCGTGAAAAACTCTGCAGGAGGTTTCGCAGACTATAGATGAAAAGAGAAGGAAGAAAAAAAAAAGAGGAAAATGGAAGGGAAAAGCGTTTCACTCCTGAAAATAAAACAAAAAGAATGTGCTGAAACTCGGATACTCACAGTGCAGCTTTTCATCCAGATTTCCCCGTGACGTCACCGAAAGGGCCCGGATGAATTCCTCGAACTCGATGGACCCGTCCTGCAGGTGAAAACAAAAGAAGTTTTAATGCTACGTTCATATGGAAAAACCGCAAAATTTTGCAACGCAATTTCCAAAAGTGTTTCCAAATTTCCCATGATGTTACGTAATTTGGTAATCGTATCATTCGATTGGATGCGCGCGGGATAAATTTACACATACATTTTACAATCACATTAGTTTAATCAATTTTAAAACACTTTATAAATATCATAAAAATCATTGAAAATTTTAATTTGTGTTATTGAAGAAATATACGAATAAAAAAGATTTGTAATTAAATGCACATGAAAATTAACAATTCTTGTAATGAGAATACAACTGAAATTGTGTTTATTGACGATAAATGCTTTCGTTTATGATTCGATAAACTCGCTTTGCGTAGTTCTTGGAAGCGTTTATTCTTCGGTCGTCTGGCTCTAATTGCCAGCTTTAGTTTTAGTTATTAGTAGTTAAAACTTCACGATGCTATGATTCGCACCCCCCATACTAAAGCAAGAGACGCATTAAACGACGTGTACACTAATTTGCATGAAACTTTTCGCGATTAGTAGAGTCCTTGCAATTTGGGCTCAGTCCAAACCTCATTTTAATACTAAAAATCATGCTAAACACACATAAATCTCAAATAATTACCTTCAATAAACATTTCCTTACTAATCAAGAATAGACAGTAAAATTGTCTAATTATATATAAAGGGTGTCCCAAAATTACCGCAAGATTTGAATTAAATAGAAAACACAGTTTTTAGTCTTCTGATTGTGATTTTTTTTTATTGAAATATGCGTTAATTTTGGGACACCATTTATATGTATATTTAGGTGAAACATTTATACTTTATTCATTTCTTTTGTGAATTTTTCTTTTGTTACTTACATTATTCTTTTCGTTTCTTGCTACTTTCTAGGATTATTCTGTACATATGAATTAGTAAAAAGTAACTGTGGCTTTATGTTAATAATTACCTTCAGAAGAATTTCTTTAAGAATAGAAAATAAACCTGATTTACATCTATACATTATAGTTGAAATATTTAACTTAGTTTATGTTTTTTTACATTACTTTCATGAAATTCAATGAAAAAAACGTCCTAAAAACTAATATGAACTAATTACTTTATTCAATCCATGATTTACCTAAATTATTAAAAGTAAATTAAATTTTGATTTGTTTTTTTCTTCTCTTGCTACTTTCTTGGCTTATCCACATGTAGATTTTCTTTTTTGTTGTTGTTCCAAGCGGAAGCGTTTCCGCATTCAGGTCGAGTTACATTAATATCATACAGTGGATGAGCTCGAAAGGAATTATGCAAATGAACTAGAAAATTTATTATTATATAAATATGAGAGAAGAGGGAAAAAAAGAGGGAAGGTAAATATAAAAAAAAATCAGTTCCCTGGTGGTTTGCATGGAATGAAGGAATGACGAAAACAGAATGAAGGGAGAATAATGTATGAGATACATTTACGCGTAGTTAGTCTTTGTCTCACCTTTGTTACTTTTTCATATGTCGATTTTAGTAATCCTAAATAATTGTTTTAAAATGCAATTAATTTGTTCAATTTTCAAGTTAAATATGTATATTTCTATACAGTTTTAAATGAAACTTTGTTAATAGCAAATACATTTTTTTGTTTATTTGTTTCTATAAATATTGTTGTCAAAATATGAATGAATTTTAATATTCAACATTTTATTGTACTATTTCATATACAGTGCATTTCCATATGGGATTTCCGTTCAATAAAATTTGTTTTCCTAATATTTAAATTTTAGCAAATAAAAAAAAACAAATAAAAAAGCAAAGGCTTTGGGACATCGTGTATATGAATCTGGCGTAAAACCGTTACGGCGACGGATATTGAGCTCCAAAACCCTCACAATCCCTTTTTTTCTTTTGCATTTTCTGAACGCAGTCCGAAGGGGCCTTAAAGTTCAAACATTTGCATGCCCCAATACGTGACCTTCCACAGTTGATATCGAGCGGAACAACAAGTTCCGTCCGTTCATCTATTAGAAATGCAAAAGAAATCTCCATTCCATAATTAGATTGCTTTTTTTTCTTCTTCTCTTAAATCCGCTCGAAAAATAATTACATTTCGGGCTTTGTGCCTTTCAAAAAAATGCTCCGCAATTACTTCCGGCGGAAATGGAATGATATAAGAAATTGGCTGTCATCGCTCACAAAAATTTGTTTACTTGTATGTGCAAAAAACTAATATAATAAAGTGTATTTAAATTAGGCGAAGAATGTGTTTCTGGTTGCTGTTGTTGTTTAGTTGGTTGTTGTTGCTGGTGGTATTCAGTGGAGAGGTTGCATAGTTTGGAAAAGCGTTGCGAAAATGGCTAATTGAAATGTTCACAATGTAGCAACTAAAAGCCTCCCTCGCATTGAAATAACTTGCATTAGCCACAAAAGAATGTTACATAATGTAGAAGGAACGCAACAAAAACAATTTGGTTTTCTTTATAATACTTATTTTTTTGTATTCAACTATTACAGTGGAACCTTGCTTAACGAACATTTCGCTTAACGAGGAAAATTAATTATACAAAAAATGATTCGCTTAACGAGCAACGTTTCGCATAAGGAGTGACGATGAGAAGAGAAGTCCTGGATTGTGCGCCTGCTACATCATTTTTAAAACTTGTCTAGACATATTATGTGTATTTTTGAATATATTAACCATCTTATATTTTCTTTGTCATCTTTTTCTAAAGCGGATTATACTTTGCAAATATAATTTTTGTTTGCTGTAAATGCAAAAAACACAAATGTATCGTGTCCAAACATTATTATAATATATAAACACACTAAGTTCGCTTTTTTATATAAACAAATATTAAAAGTATAAAGAGACTTCCAACAAGTCCCCGAATTGATACAAGAAATATAAACAAATATAAACTCACTTCACCTTGTGTGAATTGGAAAACAGTTCCTAGTGTTAGTGGTTATTCTACTTGCATCTTAGTGTTGTTTGTGATCACAAAATTTCCAAACTTGTGTTCAGACATATTATTTGTGTTTTTTTTGTGCAAAATTTAATAACACTTACATGTCTCCGAATAAAAAGCCAAAGAATACAAAGACCAATAGATATGAAAAGCAAAACCAACAAAAATCGAGAACAAGTTATACTTTTTTTCTCCATGCTTCACTATACGAGTAAAAATCAGGAAATTTTGGAACGAAGTTAAGCGAAATTCTACTGAAATTATATCTTCAGAAAAACTGTAATTATAATACGCAATTAATTAAAATTGTTAACAGAAATATATTCGATTTATTTCATTTTTTATCTGCAATTATTTATGTGTTCAATATAAATTTCCATTTATTGTTTATTATACAAATTACAAGTTGGCTCGAGAAATTGTTACTTAATTAATGTTTTTTTTTAAATTAATAATGATTTATTGAGTAAATTAACAAGAAATGTTGGTAAATTTCATAATATTAATTAAAGATATAATTTTACGATTGATGCAAAAAAAAATATTGTTAATTGTTGCATAAATTATTTATGCAACTTTATGTTTTTTTTCTTTCAATAAATTAACAATGTTAACAGTTAATTAAGGTAATTTTTGTTACTTCTTGTATAAGAATTTCAACTTGGTAACAGAAATGTTGCTGAATATTGATTTATTTAATAAATTAACAATAAGTTTTATCAATTATAATTTTTACATCAAAAGTTTCTTTAATATTGATGTAATTGAAAAAATTGAGTCAATTAAAAAAAAAATTATATTAATAATGATATAATTATAAATAAATAACTTGTGAAGTCACAAATTATGTTTGCACGTTTTAGTTATATCTTAAAAAAGATAAAAACACAAGAAAATAAGAAAAATAAATGTTTCTTGAGTATTTTTACTAAACTAGTAATGAGTACGAACTTCAATATGAAATATGATGCTTTTGCGTGTGACTGCAACAATAAATATTTTGTTAAAGAAATGCAGTAAGTAAAAAAAAGCGAATGATATATAACATGCAGCGCTGCTAATTCACATTATGTAATATATATATGCATTATTTTCCTCTGTTTTCTTTATGTTTGGAAGCAACTCGACGACGTGCATATTAACTTAATGAAACCAGAATGCAAATTTCCTGCAAATAATTCGTACGTCTCACACGTTTCACCTGTGCTCCAGTATAATTAACGAACGTATGCATTCATTATTGTCGTTGCATATTTCACACTTTCATCAATGCTTTTACATTGAAAACCATTAGAAAATAAACAGTACAAAAAGGGACTTTACTGTACCGAAGCGCAAACATTTGTGTATAAAAAAAATCTGTAATATTTTTGTTATAAAAATTTAGTTTGTCTGCAATTTTCTATGCAAAACCTCGAACAGTGCGAGTGTTCTTCATTCACTTGACCAAAAATTTGGATTATTCTTTTAAGAAATAAAATATTTGATAAGATGAAATCTACGAAAATTGATTGCATTTTCTTAATTATAACAGTATTCACTTTGGAAATTTAGTTTCATTTTGAAGAAAACTATATTTATTATTGTCGTTGAATTTTCTTTCGTTTGACTTGAAAAATGTGTTCATTTTTCCCAAAATTATACATTGTTCCTTTCAACGATTTAAATTCGTATCGCCAAGTGAAACTCAAAATTAACGTATTTACACGTTGTAAGTAGGAAAAACAAACACGTTACTTTCGCAATCAATGTGTAAACATAAAGTTTGATTTCGATTGCGAATCGGGCATGCATAAAATTTGTTTGTTTAATTTAGTGTTTGTTTTTTCTTTCATTCTATGGTGTCACGTTTCGCAGTTTAATTAGTGCGAACCGACGAATCCGTACGCCCGATTGTGTGAGCAGATTTAATTACGTTCGGATCCTGATCGAAACTGTGTTACAAATGGATGGAATCCGGTGGATTTTCGTTGTGTTATGTAAGATTCGAATGAGGATTTGTGCGCGCGAAAACCTCGTTCAATATTTACGTAATAAACTT